CGGGAAGGAGGTGAATCACATGATGATGTGCTACAGTGAGCATCTGATCCCATCTTTCAGAAGGTTTCGAGCAGGAAGACAGAAGCATAAAGTCACTGTGTAGAAGTTGAAATTTTGAGTTACTGCCCATTTTTCTGCATTTCAGTCTCGTGCCATGTTCATTATTAGTTGGAGAATCAACCTGTGGGTAGTGATGGTCCTCTGACACCCGAGGCTCTGACACATGCGTGGCAGCTCATGAAGCAGTTTTATTGAACCACTATGCCGGGGCGTGGTTTGGTCACATGACTAGTGACGTATGAACCACTTTACTGCTTCATTCAGTATCGAAACCCTGTCACTGGTTTGGTTGTATCGGCTGTTTAGGAGAGCTGAGCTGACCCTGAAACAAACAGAGACCGAGTTGACAGAGATTTGGTTTGACAGTGTTGCATTCAGTACTAAAGATTCTATAACATTACTAGACCATGATACTAGGAGCAAATGAAACGCTGTAACTAGTGATGGCTGATTGAGGCTTTGTTGAAGCTTCGACACTATATTAAAAAAAGGTTCATTACTGGAGGCTTTATTGACACAGTGCTCGAGTAGGACATCTAGTGGTCAATAAAATGAAGTGCAGTCAAGACGTGTCACTCATTGGTTCATGGATTGTTTGGGATTTGATTCGTCATGCTCATTCCTGTTCAAATACACTACATGCTTGTATGGTATCAAGCTGACACAATAATGTCAGCCCTATAATCCAGCCCTGCCCGTCGGGCTATCTCACAGGGACAGTGTTTCCACTACATTAATATTTTCGTGGTGAGCCGCAACACCAAAAATCACCCCCGCGGCGCCACGACTGCAGACTCTCAGTGACACGTAGCGGAGGAGACAAGGGGGTAGTTCAGCAGCGTCACGTCTTTAGTACAGAGAGGACACAGTCAGTCACACAGCGCCACAGCGTCTGTCGCGGTTCAGAACACTATTTAAAATCACGTCCCTTCTCTCCCATAATCTTCCGTTAAATTACACTATATTTGTCTTAAATTGCTGTTAACATACATGGTGATTAGATGAACTCTTTTGGACTGCTGAACTGAACACGTCTGTTACCGGAGTAAAGGATTTAACGGTATATTTTCAGCCTGTGTGCGCGTGCAGGGGACGTGTGAATGTGCACTCGCTTTTTTACTTTAAATTTCAGCAGCAGTGATTTGTCACTGACGCTCTGCGACGTAATCCTGCCAGTCATAATTATCACGTGATAAGTGAAATCTCGCGCAGCCAGTTTAAACGCGAGAGAGACTGCATGCCTAGTGGAGAGACCTGTGGAAATCACCAACAGTTATGTGTGTGTGTGTGTGAGGAGAGAAGAGAAGAGGAGTATGGATTTACGCACTGTATTTCAGTTCTGCTGAGCCAAAAACGACAGTTCAGGAGGACGAAGGGCCACCTTAAGCAAAACAGACTAACAAAAAGA